CTCTGTTACCATAGCAATAAATCCGTTTCTCTGAGAAAGTTTCTCTGAAACACGTGGCAGTGCATTGTTATTCACACACACCGTGCAGCGCAGTCGTTTAATTAGTCATATGAGCTTTGAAACGGCAGGCATAGTATATAACTTTCTCGTGTCTTTTCTCGTAACTTTCTCGTCGGCAAAAAGTTATTGATAACATTGTTTCAATTATTTTTCATTTATTCGTTTATCGCAGCGAAGATTATAATCCACCTTCAAACTTTCCAAGTTGAATTTAAATTCAACAATTGTTACAAGTTAAATTTCTTATTTTCAGTAAGAAATGCCAAATCGTCAGAGAAGAGAAACTGACAAAACCTGCAATGGTAAGTAATTATAATAATTAAGTGTAGATTAGAATGGTTAAACCATCATGATGATACATGAACTTCAGTTGAACTACAGTTATGATTGGTCTTAAACAAAATACACTTTGTGTTTTCGAGTAAATTTAAAGTTCATTTGATTGATTTTTTGATTGACAAAAACCTCTAGATTGCATTATAAAGAAAAATAAATTATTTAAATACTGAAATATTGACCGTCAAGTGTGACAATCATTGTCATGATACGGCCCGTATAACCGGGTTATACTAAATTACTGAAACCGTTTCGTGACCGTCACGAATCATTCGTGAATGAATTCGTAATTCACGAATTCGTGACGAATCACTGAAATCAACCATATTAGAACAACCGATATTTACAGGAAAATGGCATGCATGTAACCTGGTAATCAACAAAACTTTTATTGGTTTTTCCAGAAGCCAGTACTGTAATTAAATTACATCATGTTATTAATCAATAATCATTCACATATTAGAATTTTGTTTGCATCATCCCATGATATATCAGTGATAAACTATAACTTTTTTAGAATGTCGTAAAGTCTTTCACTCTACCGGCACGCTCAACCGCCACAGAAGACTAAACGTTTGCCGAGCTAAGCAGGTCAAACGGGAGAGCACGCTCCGATGCATGTTTTGCGGTGTGCCCGAATCTTCT